TAAGACAAGGAAAGGAGTGATAGGAGAGTAAGTGGAGGCAAACGAGAGAGAGAGGGAGAAGCTGAAGAGTAATGACGCACAGATGAGGGGGGTCACCTCCGGAGGGACGGGAAGCCAAGACAGGCGCCCCGAGGAGGGCAGCGGGGGGGAGAGGAGGCGAGCTCCGGCGCAGGATGAGAGTGATCCGAGGACGAGGTGTAGAGCGTGGAGAACCTCGCACGGTTCCCGGCGCCAAGTCCCTGCTCCGCACTCGGGCAGAGACTTGTCACATTGTTCGGCGCGCACTCCGAGCACCTCAGTGTGTGCGGCTGTGTCGCCTGGGGGCTCTCGTGGGCTCGCACTGGTTGTGAGACTGACCCTTAGGGGGACTTTGCCCAGGCTGGGAAGGACCCGGCGGAGGAGGAAGAGCGGCAGCGGGCAGGTGCAGTCCAGCCCGGCAGTAACGCGGGCTGGAGAGTTCTGGGCCAGGACCCCGCCGCTGGGGAGGGGGACGGCTCGTCCCTCCAGCCTCGCTCCGTCAGGCTTTAGCGAGGGCAGGTCCTGTGTCTCAGAGCCTGGAGAGTTCTGAGTACAGGCCAGAGGGGCTCCCTTTGTACCACAGGTCTTTAAAACAGCTTGGATTTATGGTGGCTCTTCAGAGGCCCAGGCTAATGGCTTGGCATGGATAATGTCTCGGTTTAATTGGTTTTTGTGGAAGCTGCTTGTTTCTAATGTGGGATCCCTTGTCCCTGCCTTTCGAGCAATCCCTCACAGGCTCTCTGAATCAATACTGCCCTCAGAGCCACTGAGGAGCCTGCGTTGGGGCGGCCACCACTCTGGGGAAACAGCCATCCTACAGGATTGCCCAGATCCCGGCGGGCACCGGGCTCTGATGCACAGGGGCCTGCTTCTGGTGACATTAGACTGGGGTTCATGTGTGTTCTGGTGGAGGGATGGGCTAGACACACCTCTGTGGATAACCAGCCCCCAAGAGTCTTTTCCAAGTTAAGTTGGAGGGCTGGAGATACAATGGACAAAGGAAGTCAGAAAGTGACCCTTCTCACAGAGGCAGAGCAAGCTCATCCAAGCAACAGGTAGATTCACCCAGAGCCAAAACAAGGGCCTGGGGTGGGGGGTGGGGGGCGCTGCCAGGAGGGACATTTATATTTCTGAGAACAAAGAGCCTAAATGATCCTAATTCCTATTATGGCATTTCATTTCAAGGTCACAATATTTTTCTTAAGACTTCCTAAATCTTTTGACCTTAAATATATTTTGTTCCTATTCTCTTTTAAGGTGTGTGATATATCCTAACCATTGCAATCCAAGAACAGCCTGTCTGGAAGCTGTCTTGGAGCTAAGCACACTATGTTGCTCTTATGTGTGTATATATTGGTCTCCCGCCATGGACCGGGAGTGGTCTGAGGCAGAAACGGGGACCTACTTGTTTGTGTGCCCAGAGCCTGACATGGTTCCTGGCAAAGCATGTGTGTTCCTGATGTTGAATGAAGGCTTCCAGGAAGATTAAGGAGAGGAAAGAGTTTAACTGTAAGGCTGTATCTTTATGCATTCACACATCTGTTATTTTTATGTTCTCTTACGTATCTGTATCATATGTATAATAACCAAAATTATTTCATACAGAAGGAATTCAGAAAATCAAGCTTTTGGAAATACAAGTTGCAATATTTTTAAGTGAGATCAGCTATAAAGTATCTGAAATTATACTGCTTAAACCATAACAGTATGGAACAGCAGGCTGAGTAGCCTATCGAGTGGGCTGCTGCTCTGTCTTCTGACACAGGGTTTGTCTACAGGATCACTCCATGCGGCAACTCATCTCCCACCCCCGTGTGGCTTTGGGTGACATGAGTTTGCAAGGAGTTGTTTTATTGATTGATTGTAATATCTTTAATTCACACTTTAATATTTTAAGTTGGCGCTTTGGTTGTTGTCTTCTCTTTTACTTTGTTATGTTTCCTTGAAGTTTTACATCCTGAGGGTGATGATACAGTTGCTGCTTTTCAGGAAAAAGCATTAAATGTAAGTTTGGTAAGGATGCTTCTTGCTGAGTCGTTCACGCCTGGGCTGATTTGCAGGAGTACGTGTGAAGGGACAGCTGCCAGAGCCGGCAGTCTCCAAAACGGAGCTCACACACCAGGCCAACGAAGCTTTGGGGCAAAAAAGGCAATATTAGTACTTCTGTGTTTATTCATCTTAGCTTTTAACCTTATGTATACTTTATAATGTGATATATTAACATACTGTTGTATTAATATAGATATATAATATATAAAGAAACATAAACAAAATGCATGCTCAATTTTTGGACTGGTGGGCGTATGCAGTCAGATATGTTCAGGGACCTCTGCTCTGAGCATGGATGCATCCTGATGAGCACTTTCTCTTTCACCAGGGTTCATGTCCAATCAAAGGGGAGAAAAAGTCAGGTTCCTCCCAGCTCTGTGTAGCAGCTTTGTGTCATTCCTGGTTGGTGGAGAGATGGAGAGCTTAAGAGTGGAGACAGTGTGTTCTCTGGCCCCATTGTCTTTAAAATGCAACTTTGCTTGGTCCTTTCTCTCAAAAGAGGGCTCAAGCCAGCCCAGTCTCTTTCCCCACTAGGGAGAACTCTTTACCATGACTTTTGAGGTCATGCCCAAGAAGCCAAGGACTGAACCGTATTCTTGGGCTGACTCCAACCCAGACCTTGCACTCAGAATGTGGTATTAGATTTCTTGACTTCAAGGTCATGGCCAATAGGCAGTTTAGGTTTTTTTCAATGGTGCTCCCTGCCAAGAAAACTGATAATGCTGTCCATATCCTCTGGCAATCTACGTTGATTGTAGGAATGGGGTGTGGATTATACAGTGTTGGGTACAATTACCTCCCGAATACAATGCATCTTCTTTGAGACATCCCAGGGAGATAATTTGGACATAATGAAGATCTATAGTAATCAGATAATTACTATCGATTGCTCTTTAGACGTCTTGATGAGGTAATTAGGGTGTACTGGAAAGAAGCTAGAACTGATTGATTGGCATGACTGTAATCTCAAAGATTTCTAATTATGTTTCTTTTCTTCTAATGGCTTATAAACAAACATCATTTTAGCTTTAAAATTTGTCAGGTGCCAGGTTCACTGGGAACATCAGCTTTCTCTATTATGCTAACTAGACACGGAACATGATCAACATAAGCTCATTATGCCTTCCTGCTGAAGCAGAAGAAACTGCAATTAACCCTCACTTTTCTTGTTCGTCTTTGTTTCCACATGGCTGAGTTCTTGTTGAGGAGTGGAGTGGGAAGTGTTGTGGGAGGGCGTTCCATGAGGAGCATGTGTGACTCTGGGTTGGGTGGATCTGGGTGGCCTACTGGGCACCCTCAGAGCCTGCTGAGCCCCAGGCCCAGCAGAGCCGGGGCACTGTGACACAACGTATGTGGCTGACTGGTTGGGGGCTGGCTGACTGCTCAGGCTCCTGTCACAAGTAATAGCTACTCGTCAGCCCGCAATGCCGAAGACTGTCTGCATCAATATTCTCCAGCAGCTGGACCCGGCCGTCTCTCGTCACTGTGCTACTATCATCTCTTCCATTAGACACTAATTAGAGGCCTCCCTGTCTGAGACCACATTCCACATTATCCTAGTATTTCCTACACCTTATAGGACCTTTCCGCAGCTTGCATCATTCAGAATAGTGGCCTGACTCAAAGATGATGGATGCTAAGAAGCACTAAAGCAGCAGGTTGAAATGAGCTGTTTACATCTAATCAATGATGTTGGTGAGCTCTGCGCTTACTGGACTGCAGTCTGGTTCCCAGACTCACAGTTCTCCGCTGTGACCCCTCTGTGCTTGGTACCCTGGTAGGTACCAGTACTTGCATGTGGAATGACCTGAATGATCTCCTGTGTAGTTGAACCTCATGCTTTCAATTGAAATCTCACCAAAGAAGAAAATTGTATTTTGCTTTTATATTTTTATAAAATCCATTATTTTCCTGAACCCCTATTTTAAGAAAAAGTCACAGATACTGCCTACATATTTGTATCACTAAAACTTTTAAGGCATGAGAGGAGCAAAGTGTGCGTGGGGATGACTCAGACAGCAGAGGGGACTCGGGATGTTTCTTCATTGATAGCCTGTGGTTAGATGCTGTTTGGATAGCTACAGCTGTAGTTGGAAATGCTTCATCACCTCCCATTAACTAGCTTGAGGAATGGAAGTATATACAGAATTTGTCTTCATTTTACATCTTTATAGTATAAGTAAAGTTACATAGTGAATTTTTGGATCAGCCACAGTTCTTGAGAAATGGGGGTTTCTTTTCAAAATTTAATCTGAGTAACTGTTTAGGTCAGTATTTGGTGTTGAAAAACCTTCCTAATCTGTATCAGTTTATTTTCCTCTAATAGGACATGTAATGAGCATATTTTAATTTTTTTGATAATTGGAAATCATGACACAGATAATTTTAAGCAAAAATTTTATTTTATTTCTGGAGGTAAAGAAACTTTAAGGACTGAAAAAATGCCCAAAACACATTGCAAATTTTTGTTTGTTAGCTGATTTTACCATGTCTAAGACATGGGTTTGTTTTCTAATTATTTGCCCCTTTCCCTAAAAGTTCATTGAAAATCTACTTACTTATCTGGTTATTTATATTGCTATCTATTTTTTTCTTTTGCTTGGGGTTCTTCCCATTTGGGGTTTTGATTGTTATTTTCCTGTATTTGATTAAATATTCCACTTGTCTGTCGGGAAGTGCAGACTGTACTGACTTTGCCCCACAGCGGTGTGACGTAGACTGCTGCAACACAGTGGGTCGTCAGTAGGGTGCCGTGCATACAAACAGGCAGAGGCTTCAGCTAGAGGGGCTCAGGCTGCAGACGGAGTCACGTGTTGCACAAGTTAGGTGTGGTGTGGGGAAGGCACAGTGGGGAAACCTCCTCATTTGATGAGAGAGCAGATGGAAGTGATAGGATTCAGTAACCTGCTTTTGGTTTGGGCATGTCATTGTAGGAAGTTTTGCAGCTTGAGAGGCAGATGGGAGGCCAGCTCCTAGAAGAACCCAAGGCTCTTCATTTTAAAGGCAGCACCCACAACCTGCGCCTGTCGATTCACGATATCACCCATTCCCTCTGGAAGAGCAAATTGCTGGCTAAATATCAGGTAAGGTTCCCAAGCTGAACTGATGGCTTGGAGACAGCTCGAAGAAAGGGGACTAAAATTATGTGGACATAAATATTCCCTTCTGAAATTAATCCTACATCAGTACTTGTTTCTCCAAAATAGTTGGGGGTTATTTAGGTTTTTGAAAAATACTCTAGACATATTTGAAAGAATACTTTTTTCTTAATTCTTCTTCAATTAATTGTACTATCATTTGTTTTATTTTTAGCATCTAAGACTTCCAAGTCCCTCATTTCATTTTCAGAGTAAATGTTTATGTTGAATTGATAAAAAACAGCCTCAAAATGCTTTCGTAGGAAAAACAGAAGAATGTTGTTATCCCACATGACGCAAATTAGGCTCCAGCCTTGCTAGGAGAGTACCTTTACATTGAAAACTTAAAAGGAAGCCCAGTTTGGAAACTGAAATAGCATGTAGAAATAAAACCTGGTCAGGATTTCATTAAGTAACAGCATTCGTTGTACGTACCTGTGGGGACAGCGTGGGCCTCTCCAGGGCTTCCCACCGCCTCCTCCATCCGTCAGCCTGCGCTCTCAGGAGACCGTGTGGTGGGTGCTTCTGCGTCAGGAGATGCAGACACACTGAGAGAAGCTGTGAGTCCTTGTCTGTAGGATGCAAATCCAATCCCACACCCCAGCATTGCAGCTGAACTGGTTGCAATCTCCTGATATAAGTCAATGAACATGCTAGAAGGAGTGAAGGGAAGATCTTGCACCTCCATTCTTACTGTCGTTTGTCTGTTACTCACACATAAACTGTGAGAAACAGACCTAATAGTTTCCTAACTGTCCTGAGCTTTGCTGGGGTTGCAGGCCGACTCTTCTCTTACTCAGCCCTCGAGGGAGAGATGGGGCTTTTTGACTTTCTCATTACATCTCTTCCTTTGCTTTCTTCTTTTCCCTGTTTTACACCTGCCTTAAAAGCCCACAGATCTTCCCCTTTTGTGAACAGTTTCCTTTGTACAATCGTAATGGAAAATAGTACTTTTGTAATAATGATAATCTAAATTCAGGCTAAGCCTGGCTGACTTCTTGTCATCTGCCAGAGGCTCATGCACTCTGGTTTCTCTCCGTTAACCCCGGCAGGCCTAGGACTCGGGTGCTCTTTCAGAGGGGATAGAGGCATAGAAAGGTCAAGTAACTTGCCCCCCCATCACCCAGTAAGTGAGGGGAAGTGTTCTCATTGGTGCTGAATTCTCTACTCTTAACCACACGTTCTCCCATTTTTATATATCAATCTTTGCTTTATTGAGAAAAGATTCTAGGATAGACTCTGTAAGGTGGTCTAGACCTTTAGAAAATTTATGTGTGTTAGCAGCTTGGTGCTTGTCAGGCCAAGGGCTTTTCTGTGGCAGGCAGCCCAGTCTGCGGCTTCCAGCTCGACGGGGCTTCAGCGTCCCTGCCCGCCCCGTGTGGAGGGAGGAGAGGCCTGAAAGGAGCTGGATCTGTGCGTTATCCTGTGGACTTTCTTTGCTTTTCTCCAGAGTACCACGCAGGGATTCCTTTTAATGAGCAATGACTGGAGTGTCTAGGTTTTATTTTGAAAATTTTTTAAACTTAAAATCATTTACAACAGCTTTTTTGGTAAATGACAGACAAGTGGCAAACTGGTTAGGTATATGGATTCTGGAGGCTGACTCTCTGGGTTCAAATCTCAACTCTGCCACTTACTAGCTGTGGGACTTGGGCTGAGTTGTTTAACATCTCTGGGCCTCAGTTTTTCCATCTGAAAAGGGGTCCGGAAGTGCTCATGCAGAGGCCTGTGGTGAGGATGAAATGAGGTAACTCGTGTGATACTGAGAAGAGTACTCGGCAGTGCAGTGTCTGATGGTTCCTTTTAGTGTTGGTCCCTCATTTGTGATTGACACTTTTATGTCCTTTAGGAAATTCCTTTTTACCATATCTGGAGTGGGTCTCAAAGAAACCTCCACTGCACGTTCACTCTGGAAAGATTTAGCCTGAACACAGTGGAGCTGGTTTGCAAACTCTGTGTGCGACAGGTGGAAGGAGAAGGGCAGATCTTCCAGCTAAACTGCACCGTGTCAGAGGTAAGGCGCTCTCGTGTGTCTTAGAAACCAAGGGAGAGAATGACCTTGGGGAGGGGACAGTGTGGAGTTTAAAGGTGTCTCTCAACACGGGCTGTTCGGGAAGTCCTCAGAAGCTCTCTCTAGGTCCTATTTGTTAGTGAATACTATCTTTAATGAATACAGGGAACTAGATACATAACAGAATATAATAGGGAATTCTTTTTAAAACAAGTCTTTTATTTTTTATGACATGAATTTAAGAATCACGTTCTAACTTTTTACAAGCGATCTGTATTTCAAGTTTAAGGTTTAATTTAAGTACTGTGCACATGGAGTACCTTTCCCAGGCATCCCTTGATGCACCACCTTCCCCGCATCCTCCATCTGTCTCTCCTCCCTTTCTGCTGCTTTCCTCGGGGAACTCGCCTCCCTTTGCCTAAATTGTGTGCTGCCGAGTGGGATGGAGGAAGAGAGATGGGCCTCTGCCCCCACCTTTTCTCTTCCCTCCTTTTTTTTTCCATGCTGAAAGGAGAAATCTCTTGGTCTCCTTTCTCTCTCGTACGTCATTCTCCAAATATAAGAAGAGGTGCCAGAGGCAGGGGGTAGGAGGTGGGCGAAATGGGTGAGGGGAGTCACACGGTAGAAACTTTCCATTATAAGATAAGTAAGTCCTGGGATGTAATGTACAGCATGGTGACTAGAGTTAATAATACTGTACTGCATATTTGAAAATTGCTGAGAGAGTAAATCTTAAAAGTCCTCATCACAAGAAAAAACAATTCTGTAACTATGTATGAGGACAGATGTTAGCTCTACTTACTATAGTGACCATTTTGCAGTATATACAAATATTGAATCATTATGTTGTATACCGAAATCAAGATACTGTTGTATGTCAATTATACCTTAATAAAAAATAATAAAAAAATAAATAAAATTTAAAAAGAAGAAGAGATACCCCTTTCCCCAGAGTGGGAGAAATGTTTCAAAAATAGGAGTAAAATCTACGTATTTTCCCCTGGTGGCCATCACTTTTCCTTTCTTTGCTGTGATTCTACTCCCTTCAGTTGGGCATCTCATGTGTCCACATTGCAGAAATAGCAATGAGCACCACTATTTAAAACTTCTCTGTACAGGGAGCATAGGTGTTTGTGACCTTATCTGTTACCTGGGACCCCAAGGCTGTATTTGCACAGTGAAACCCTTCATGCTGGAGGAACAAAGGGAAAAGACTAAGCCTTCAGAGTGATCAGAAGGCAGCAGCTTCTGGGCCTCGTGGAGCTATGCCCCATGCTGCTCGCTGAGCCACAAAGCACAGGATTATCGTATTTTAAAACTACAGCGGGACAGGGTATGATTTAAAAGACTACGTCCCCCTTGCTGTCTCCTGCACAGTGACGAATGAAATGTCACTATGTTCAGCGTGTCTTGCTCCACATGTTGTATTTAAAGACTGTCTTCCTTAGCAAACAGAGGCGGGGGAGCATGTCAGCCTCTACGAGGCTCCATCCTTCTTTCCCACAGCCTGCCGAGGCACGGTCATCATCTCCTCCTGTAGTTTCATGCGACTTTTGACTCATAAACAACTTTAGTCACAGATCTCGGTGACATTCATAAGGAATGATCTCGGTGTCAGGGTGCCATGGCAACTGCCAGGCCTTCTGATGCGCAGGCCCTATCTCCCTGGCACACAGCACCACCCCTGCTGGCTCCGGAGGGTGTTTTCACTTTCCAGGCCCAGCAGGTCTGCAAAGTTCAATAACCACCCAGCTCCAGGGACAACAAAGGCTAGGGAATTTTGGAGGGGGCGGGAGGCCTGCGGCTTTGATGCTCGCTCTCTGTTCAGTGCGCACGTTTGCTGTGGGGTGAAAAGGTGGATCAGATGCAGCCACCAATGAAAGGGAGCTGTTCAGGGCCCTCCCCTGCCAGGGCCACCACCCCCTCACCGAGAAAAGGCACTTTCGCATGGTGTGATCACAACTTGAGGACTTTCTTTCTTGTGCCCACAGAGAGGAAAGATGATTGCTTTTGCAACTTGGCGGCAGTCAGCTCAGAGAGGCCAACCCTTCAGTCTTGTCAGAGGCCTTTGCCCGTGTGTGACAGACACACACATTTAACAGAGGGAGGGGCAGAAATGACCTGAGTCAGATGACTTTGAGGATTAAGAGGCACTCTGCTGCTTTTATTTCTGGGTCACTGAGTCCCACCATTGTGGTGAGCATTGGAGTTCAGTGCATGCGGCCCCCAAGTGTGGAGCTGGGGACTGACATTGGGGAGCACGGCCCTGCACTGGTGAACAGTTGCCTTTGGAAAACCCTGAGATGCGGATCCTCACCCAAAGCTCCGAGAAGGGGTCCATTGTGACTGACAAATCATAACCAGAGGAAAGTCTCCATTTGTGGTGTCTTTCTTCTGCACAGGGCCCCACCTAGGGTCACATGGCAAGCCGGCGGGTAGGCTGGGGTTGCAGTTCCAATGTCCTGTCTCCCAAGAATGAGCTGACTTGCCAGGAACGTGCTCCCCCCTACCCCCACCCCCGGGGCCCACCACTCAAAGGGCTCAGCAGCAGTCATTTGTAACACGCCGCCCTGCCGCCCTGGCCTCTCCAGTCAGGAGAAGGACCTGTCGCCCCCCGCAGGCCAGGCTGTGCTTGACCCAGTCCCACAGACCGTGTGACGTTCCTCTCTGGGCACTTTGGCCAGAGACGCCTTAACTAGAGAAAAAGCTTTTAGTCTCACAGAGATGAAGTTTAAGAATGAAAATGTCTGGAAGAGTAAAAGTATTAGTATGAATGAATGTCAAGATGATAGAAGGTTTTTTCTTTCTTTTTTTTTTAGAGGGATGGGGCAGTATTAAAGGGGCAGCTACCCGTCACCACCAAGAGAAAAAAGGGTGTAGACGAGAGAGAGGGACTTACAGTCTCTTCAGGCATTCTGGTCGGTTTTAGCGATGGAGAAAGACCTGTCAGATACCTGATAGATAACCCCTGTTGACTACAGACACACAGCACTTTTTTGTACACAAAGAGTAATATTAAAAACGTACAAAGTAACATCACTTTGCTACATCTATTCATCTCTTCCATTTTCTATAACCTGTTCAAAATGACTGTTGGGAAGTCTAGTTTTTCTAAGTGACTTTGGGCAGAGTCAGACCATGGGAGTGGAAGGTTGTTTCCACTGTGGGGAGCTGAAAATGTGTGCAGCCCCCAGAGCAGCTGTTTGTTTAATGTCGAAAAGTCGTATGTTTGACTAAGGGAATCGTCACGTGAAAGACAGCTGGTACCAATATCATAAACGATGATCATCATAAGCATTCTGTGAGAGTAAACTCTACTTTTACCTGGAAGTAAAGGCAGAACTAATAGCAACTGAAATTACTAGATGAAATTTTAAATGTAAATGTTTATGTGTATTTTTCTTTTACCTCCAAGGCCGTTGTCAGCCCTCTGATGAGAGAGACAAGAAATTATGCCCTCCTGAGCTTGTTTCATCCACACAGAAATAAATAGGCACAGTGGCCAGGGCTGGAGGCTCAGGACTTGAAGGCTCATGTGAAATGATGGTGCTCCTTTATTCACCAGGAAAGGATGACAGCAGGAACCTGCGAGCAGACCTCCCTGAGAGGCATGCCCACCTTCATCTGCCTTTCCCCTCAGCATTTAACAGAGGGAAGAGCCACACCCGTCTCCACATTTAATTGGAAGGAAGCTCAACACACTCCTCGGTGGGGTGGGCTTCTACCAGGAACTGGCTGCATCCTCTTTCTGTATCAGGAGAAATATGTTCTCTCATTTCGACAAATAGGAATTGAGTAGCTTCCATGTGCCGGTCACTGTGCTGAGTATCAAAGTGGTTCTGAGGATGACAAAAATACTCTCCTTTCCAAGCAATTTGAGAAATCAATGGAAGTAACACATCAGTACAACCAACATGCATAGGGCAGACTAAGAGGACGGAGAAGAGTGGTGAGAAGTGCTGCCGGAGGCCTCCAGGGTCCCGTGACACCCCGGGTGGATTTGTTCAGGGGAGACTCAGGGACACGCCCTTTGGTCCAGACTTTGAGGGGTTTGCTCCACAGAGATTAAGGAAAAGGGCAGAAGAACTATCCTTAAAAAGGTGCTAGGGGCTGGTCCTGTGGCATAGCAGTTAAGTTCGAGCGCTCTGCTTTGGTGGCCCAGGGTTTGCTGGTTCAGATCCCGAGGGCAGACCTACTCACCACTCATCAAGCCATGCTGAGGTGGCGTCCCACACAGAAGAACTAGAGGGGCCTACAACTAGGATATGCAACTATGTACTGGGGCTTTGGGGAGAAAAAGAGATAAAAAAAGAGGAAGATTGACAACTGATGTTAGCTCAGGGCCAATCTTCCTCAAAAAAAAAAAAAATTAAAAAACGCACGAGGAACAGTGAGTGGTCCAGTCTGAGCAGAGTTTTAGTCATGTCAAGGCAACCTGAGAGACGCAGGGTCGGACTGTCAAGTGGCGGGAGCACATGCGTATGGGGCCCCTACTCCATGTCAGGCCCGGCTCTGCGCTTTCCAGGCAGCACCTCTGGGGCGCCACACCGGCGACGAGGCCGGGGGCGCGAGTGACTCACCACCTGACTAAGTGTTGGGCCTCCTCTGGTAGGATGGGCATTTAACGCTCCTTAACGAGAGAGAGAGAAAAGGAGAAATATCAGCAAGGCACGTTAGATGATTAGTCTGGCAGACAGGGACAGATGACAGGAAAGCCATAACGACTTACTGTGGCCAACAGCACAAGGAATCTCTGGGGACACAGTCAGTGCTACAAAAAGCAGACCCCTACCTGTGCAGACTTAACCCCCACCCCAGCCGGGGACGGTCAGGGCAGGGTTGTATTTGGGGGTTTGGTGGGTTTCCTTCTAGGCCCTGTTGTTACTGTCCAGACAGGAAGCCAGCAGGACCTCCACGTGGGCGATGGTACTCAGCTGTGGGAATGCCTTGTGATTTCTCTTCACCTCCACCTCCTCAATCCGTACCTACCCGTTTGATCCTAATATAAGTGTTGGGCACTTGGGTTCAGACCTCCCCAACATGTATCCGTTGATAAACAGTGACACGTGCCCTCAGATCACTCTTCTGGTCCCCTTTGTATAAGCCCAATGTCCTTGAGGTCAGAAGCCCTCTCTGCTCACGGTCCGGTGAAAAGAGCTCTGTGCCGGATGCGGGGAGAGATGGCGGGCTGTGGCCTCATTCAGGGCCGCCAACTCCCGTTGGTTGCTTCTGGGTTTCATACCAGTCTTTTAAATCCTGGTATGTGCTGGAGTTAACACAAAGGAGCGAATGGAATCCTTGGAGTCTCAGTTTGCCAAGCTTTGGGTTTTGAGGCCAAATACTGTGATTGCAGCCAACACCACTGTGTGTATTATGGCAAACAGTTCTTTTGCTCTACTGTGCCCTCCAAGCCCCAGATGGCCCCTGTGCAGTGTGCCCTGTGCAGGCCCCTTACACGAGCCTAGCAGTGAGCGCTGGCTGCTGATCTGGGAATACGGAACACGCTGTCAGTCAACAGTGGCTCACAGACTGCAGAGACCCCTCAGTGCAGGAGCAGCAAGCTTTGGGGGCTCTGGGCAGTGGTGGCACTGACCCCCTGAGCTGAGCGCTCTGTAAGACACCAGAGACTTCATGATGGCCAAAGCTGTGTGTGGCCAGTTTATCCTCCAGCAACTAATTGTGTACACCAAGGAGTTACCCGCTTTAAAAAAAGAGAGATAACATTTAAAGTAGATTAAGTAGATTTTCTTTATTGCTTTAATAGTTTCCAGGCAACATTTGCTTTTGCTTTTCTAACTAGTAGAAGTGATCGGAAAATGATTTGAGTTTCTCCTGCAGATGAAATTCAGATTTTACATTTGTGCTGTTTTATGAGCTGAAACTATTTTCAGAGCCAATTTATGTTTTTCTCTACTAAAATTAGATTTTAAAAAAATGAGGGTGTAGAACCATTGGCGGATGCTGTTAGCAACTTGCCCTAAGGCAATATACTGTGTTCACCATTTTCTTGAAAAAATTAGTCTTAATTTGATATCATTTAGAGGAGAGTTGTGTTCCATTTCAATCAACAAAAACAGAACTGAGCCATCTTCTGCAGAGGTTAGAGCACATCCCTCGGCCTTTGCCCAGGGCATTCCCCTCAGGGTCAGACAGTTTCCAGAAGCTCTGAACTTTCAGCCTTCTAATCTCAGATCTGTTCATTCTCAAAGAACTGCCCTTTTGAACATTTCCCCCTTCCTGAAATCCAAACCTTTGGGAGTATTGATGTACCCTCTCTCCTCTCTCATCCCGGAGCATCCCATCAGAAAAGCTGTTATTGAATCACACCAGAGCTTTCCACGGAGCCCTATCCTGACGGAAGCCCCATAAATCCCAGGCTATGCAAAGTCAGCTTAAAATGTAGCTCTTCCTCTCAGCCAGGTTACCTCGAGCGAATCACACCTTTCAGCCATGAAGAAGCCATTCTTACTAAGGAGAGTAATAGCACTCATTCTCTTCTTATCGCTCAAAGCAAGGCATTGCATTCATTGGTTCCACAGGGATTGCTTTTGTCTTCAGAAATAATGCTGTGTTGTTCCTGTGCCTGAACTACAGGAACCTACTGGCATCGACTTGCCTCTGCTGGATCCAGCGAGCACTATCACCACCATGACGGGGCCCAGTGCTTTCAGCATCCCTCCCCCCATCCGGCAGAAGCTTTGTAGCAGCCTGGATGCCCCACAGACGAGAGGTCACGACTGGAGGATGCTGGCCCATAAGCTAAACCTTGACAGGTGGGTATGCCAGGCTTCAGGACTAGTTTCTGGAAAACATAGGGTTCCAGGACTGATAACTGTTCGACTTGGGACAGCATTCATTTTCTTCCTTCCATGCATCAATTTATTTTTCATTCTGCAAACATGTATTAAGCTGCTTCTTTGTATCTTGCACCATGGGCTTGTAAACACACTGTTGAGAGACATTCTGGGCTTATCTGACATTTGTAAGTATCAAGTTTTGTGATCCACTTTGCAAAGCTGCTATCCCCCTAACCTAACATATCCATTCACTAAAGTAATCATTGTTTCTCATCTCCTGTTGAGCAGGACCTAATGTTTAATGGGTAACTAATGTGCTACACACAGCACTGATATTCAGTTATAGAGAGACCTCAGGAGCCTCTTAGTAGAGTGTTGCCATCACTACCAAGCAAAACACAGGGCGTGACCTGTCAGAGATAATCAGAGCTGGGCTGGAAAGAAAACATAAGTCTCCTGAGTTCCTGTTTAGGACATGACCCATGCACATCTTGTCTCTTAAATTATCTTACTCAGAGTTGAGGTTAACAAAGTTAAACATCACGTCTCCTGTCTGGGGCTGATCTAATTAAGTATGGGCTAGTTGTTTAGGACGGCTCACTGTAAACCACAGTTTCTCAAGTGGGACTAGGATACTTACAAAGACAAATGGAGACACAGAAAGGTTCAGTAAAAACTGAAGAGAAAATAGATCCATAAATCACGCCATTCAGCACATTTTCCCATTCCCGATTATAGGTACTTGAATTACTTTGCCACCAAATCGAGCCCAACTGGTGTAATCCTGGATCTTTGGGAAGCACAGAACTTCCCAGATGGAAACCTGAGCATGCTGGCAGCTGTCTTGGAAGAAATGGGAAGACATGAAACGGTAGTGTCTTTAGCAGCAGAAGGGCAGTATTGACCCACGCTGGGATTGAAAATGAAGGACAAGAATGCACAGGGAATCTGTGTCCATCCAGGGGGTCACAGCTGAGAACGAAATGCAGACCAGACCGATGCACTTCACAGGCGACTCGGCCGCGGGAGAGAGAAGAACAATAGATACAACTACCGATACACACGCCCACTTCACTCGGACAGCGTCATGGGAGTGAAGAACAATTGTGTAAATTTGTACCTTGAATTTAGAAATCCACCTAATTTTCCTCTTAGTTGGGCTGTATGCTGTGTGGTACAGGATCTTACAGTTTCCTAGGAAACGCTTTTTATTGCTATCCAGATATGTGGATAAACTTTCTTAACAAACCCAGTTTCTACAAAAGTTGTTTACATCAAATTGGACAGGGACGCAGACACTGTCCACGGCTCGTTCTATTTTTGTTTAAATCGTTTGAAGTTGAAGCTGTGGACAGTTTGTTGTGTCTATTTCAGATTAGTAATTTACAGAGAAATCATAGACTTTTGCTGCAAATTGTGTGCATCAAGTGTCTCAGATAATCCTCCCATCGGTGTTCTGTTTCCAGAACTTGTAGAACCAGTGTTACTCTTTGTATCAGGGAAGTGGAGAATCTAAGTGTGAAGGAGAAATAACTCAGACTCCTTATTCCTGGCGGCCAACCTGGCGCCCTCTGGGAATGGAGCTGCAGCATTGCAGGGAAGACGTGATCCATGTCCAGCCACACAAACAAGCATTTCTTCACAACATCTGTGTTCGTAATATGCAATTTGAAGTGGCTTTTTTAAAAAAGGTATCATTATTATCATTATTATTATCGATGAGTATGTACAAGTATTCTAGTAAAAGGATTTTCTTTTAACTCCTGTTTTGGTTAGCAGTACCGGTAGTCCTTAGGTATTGACGAGACCTGCTCACCTTCTCACAGAACACGGTGGGTGTGGTCACCAGTTGAATTCAACAGGCACTGCTTCCTTTACCTTTTGTCTTTCTCCCATCATTCTGCCCCAGAAAGGCAGTAAATGCTTACTGGCTTTGTCAGTCTCTTCTTCCTGCTTACTCAGGCAGGGTCTTTCTCCTCTGAGTCTTGTCATGAGAAGTGTTCTCTACTAAATTCACTTAACATTGGGGTCACGTGACCCCACACTGACTCCTCTGTTGACCTTACAGGCAGTGTGCTTGGAGGAGGTCAGGAAACCAGTCTTCATCTGGGTTTCTCATGGTCTAGCTGTGCTACCTTGGGAAAGTTACCTAACCTCACCAGACCTCGGTTTCCTCACATGTAAAGTGAAGGGGTGGGATTAGATCATTTCAAGGTTCTAAAATGCTGGGCTTCCCCTATGAGGCCTCTAGTCTCATTCATCAGTCTGAAGACCACAGTGGACTCTGACCTGGACCATTTAAAGAGGCAGCAAGTCTTTGCCCAGGCTACATTATGCCTTTCAAATAGTTCCCACCTGGAAGATAATTGTTCTAACCTGTAACGTATTTGTTATGCTTTCAAGTCATGTCTTTGTGTCACCACATTCTGCTGTTCACCGAGAGATGGCATCCCTTTATTATCTTTTTCTTTCCTCTCTTGGGACCACTTGCCTTTCTGACTAGTTACAAATTATGTTCTAGTATTGTCGTGGTCACAATTTTTTAAATTAAAAAAATTTTTAACTGAAAAATAGTCAACAGACTACTTTGTGTAAACTATGATATTTCCTTAGGACCATCACAGGCTCTTTGTTTTAACAGGGACTCGGTTCATTCCGCAGGTGGGGACTAGTGAGTCAACAGCCCAGTGGCCAAACCAAGATCGAAAAATAAGCACCCATGTGTATGAATCAGAACCTCCAAAACGTGGCTGTGGTTTACTTTTGGGCTGGAGGTATCCAGGTTGCTGACTGGATTTGAATTAGAAATAATTTTAGACATTTTCTCTCTTCTTTCCACATATATTTCCTCTCCTGACTATTTTGGTGACTTCTTGATATTCCCAGGCTCCTCCATCCTCATCTTTGAGGAACTATTGATACCTTGGTATGGAGCCTTTTATTTCTTATCATCTGTTTTAGTCATATATTCTATAATCTGTCTCTCTCTGGTCACCCCCTCTAACATAAAAATATGTTACCCTTACTGTGAAAGGGAGAGATTGCCTTAACAAGTTCAGTGGATAATGTTTGTACTGATGCATATTTGACCAAAAGATAGTAAAATTGTATTCTACATTAAAATAATTTTAATAGCTGTTTTTCAAAAAGGAGGAGGAGGGAAGAGAACTCTTATCCAGTGCTGCATCTTGAAATAACTTCTCAAGATTGCTCATCATTACTGTTTTGGGGGGCTGTCATCTATGGAAATCAAGAATTAGAAATCTAAAGAATGCTCAAAGAAACTTCCACGCCTAGTGAAAAGTAGAGAGGAGCAAATATGTAGCTATCCAGATAAATCAATTCCAAAACTTTTATTACTAAAAAAAGTCATCAAAAAGTTATCGACACAGAAATATTGAACAAAGCAGGAACTGTATTATTGAAGCCATTATTGGGGGGCTTTGGGGTTCACTTCAGATGCTTGTTTTTTGGTTCAACATCCCAGGACCAAAAAAGGGAAGCGTGGTTGATTCCTTATAAGTAAGCGAGGTACTCATCTGTCGTAGAACCCTGTCACGTCCCCTAGCAAGTGTACGGCAACTGCCATACATACAACACACCATTTATGTCAAATAATTTTCACTACAAATTCTGATTTCCTTCTCCTTTGTGGTAAAGTAATAGCTGTTAGATTGCTCTCAAACTCAGAAGGTCCAGACTCGAGAGTTCATTTCACAGGGTGCTGCAGTCATCCCATTCTATGTGCCATGTCTTGCCCTTCACTCCTAGGGCTTCTATGGAGCGTGTGAGGAAACACGGGCGTGCTTCATTTGGATGGGGAAAAAAATCTATCACTTGTGCATGGTGCCACCTAGTGGTGCATAACACAGTCTACCCTGAGTTTGATATAAAAACTCACTACAAGCGGTTTGACAAAGGGAATGAATGAATACCTGTACAGTCAACAGGACCTTTATGACAAATAGACATGGGGAAATTTTCACTTCAAATATAGTTTTCTTATTCTCACATTTTTTTCACTTAAATTCCCCATATCAAAAATTACATGTCATGATGAGCCTAGTACGTCATCAACTCATTCATACTTGACATATCTCAAGTTGGTTTTTAGTAATAGAAATAGAAATACACAAAAATCTGTATAAAAGAGTTTGTGAAGAGTTGTCATTTTTAGCATTTATATTTTTCATTGGGCTTTATCTGTTTTAAATGTCCTTACTTTTAGTTGTCTAATATTTATTTTTGGAAATGTAAGAAGCATCCCCTTAGAAAGAAATGTTTTATATATGCAAATGAGAATACTATGTCTAAGGGAGAGAAAATTGGATTCAGAATTGATAACTGGGCACAAGGTGATACCAAATGTGTAACACCAAGGTGCTCCCAGCTCCCAGCCTTTTCACAGACAGCGTGAATACGCTCCTCAGTTACACAGAAAACTCTGCATCCCCACGTGAGCAATGTGAGGGCTTCCGAGGCTGGGCAATATTGTAGGTAAGGTGTCCAACGTTAAACTGCATAACCCTTAGCCATTTTCATATATATTATTATTTTGTAGATTTTAATCTCACAACTTTCAAATAGCAGAACGATTCCTTCGGAGTGAGTACAGGACACTCTGGAAGCTACACATTCAGTAATAGTTTTTTTTGTGTGTGTGAGAGGAAGATCAGCCCTGAGCTAACATCCGTGCTAATCCTCCTCTTTTTGCTGAGGAAGACCGGCTCTGAGCTAACATCCACTGCCAATCCTCTTCCTTTTTTTCCCCAAAGCCCCAGTAGATAGTTGTATGTCATAGTTGCACATCCTTCTAGTTGCTGTATGTGGGACGCGGCCTCAGCGTGGCTGGAGAAGCGGTGAGTCGGTGCGGCGCCCGGGATCTGAACCCAGGCCGCCAGTAGCGGAGCGCTCACTTAACCGCTAAGCCACGGGGCCAGCCCAGTAATAGTTTTTTAAAAGTATTTCTCTTATAAGTAAGATGTCTTCAAAGTAAGCATTCAGATGGTGGGATGGAGACTTGTTTCTTCTCACAGAGGGCTCTGGCAGGGACCTGGCTGCGGTCTTCTCCGCCCACTCCCTCCCGTCAGCGATGCAGGAGGAGGGAGCCAGGAGGGTGCCCACTGTCTCCCTAGAACTCACAAGCCTCTGCCACTGTCAGGTCTGTCCCCATGCCATCAAGCAAATAAAAACCACGTAAGGACCTGCAAGAGAGTGTAAAGGAAGTAGACAAAGTTGTTTACATGTGGCATTCTCAGTCTTCAAGCTGAATGTTTCATCTTTTGCTGAGCAGTTGCTCTGAACAAGTTACCAGTTCCACAGAGACTCAGGCCAAGTCCAAGGCCGATGAGGGAAAGGATGACGATGGGAACAGCTGAAATGAAATTGGGTTTTATCCACCTTCTTTGAGAACAGAGGAGCTTTTCCGAATCAGAATGTCACTGCTCAAAGCCAATTATTTGTAAAGATGATGATGGTCAATGAGCATTAGATTTTATAAGGAAAAATATTTTTATTATTGATGATCTCAAGGTAATAAAACCTTCTTTTACCTTTTGAGTGCCTCATAGGACTAACTATTACACTTTACTTTTGGGGGGTTTTTTTGTATTCTTTTTTTGTTAAAACTTTACTGAGCTAATGTTGACTGAAATCCTTAGAACTTTGCCTCCGCAATGAAGTGCTATACCCTAAGAAATCTATTTGTATAATCTCGGGCTGTAATAATCACTTTGAAAGATTTCCCTTGCATCTGGAATGATTTTTTTTTAATGGAATAAGACATAAGGGGAGTAAAAACATTGTAACCAATGTTAATTTAAGCCTGTGTCCATACAGGTCAAGTAAGCCAAATGGAGTCGTAAATATTTCCAGAATTCATGCCTGAAAACCTGCTATTTTTGAAAAGTAGGGAGCCAGCTTTGTATGTCACGGGGTGGGTTTCTTCTACAGACTAAAAGTCTAACAATGAACCTCCTGATCCTTTAGTCTTATCAGCCTGTGGTTGCCCCCATTTTTGGAAATCCTACTTTAAAAATCTGTCTTCAGCAGAGTTAATGGCTCCCAGGTTTTCCAGCGGCTCTGTCACCTCCCTGTGTTGATCTGTGGTGGGATATTAATGGGCGCATTCAACCGAATGTAATGTTTGCCCCAGACCTACATTGGCACAGTCAAGGGAGGCGTCTCCAGAACGAGCCGACAGGAAGGCCTCAGACGCACAGCACACAAAACCATGCGCTCCTGGGAGGCTGTTTCCCAGTCCGCTGTATCCTTAGACTCTTGTGTATTGAAGAGATCTGTCCAGAGAGCTTCCAGAACCCCAGTCAGGAATCCCTGCAGGACGTCAGGAGAGGCGAGGCCCACCGGTTGTTGAGTAGAAAACCAGGCAGGCGCCCTGAGATACAGTCAGCTGCCCCCCAGCCAAAGTATCTGTTCCCACGTACCCCTCTTAACATGCCATTTCAGATTTGTGCCTCAGCAAAATTGTAAATTGCTGAAGGCCATAACACTTCAGGGTCCCTTATGAATATGATTAAATCCCAAAGGTCTCCTGGAATTGCCACATC